CACTGCGAGATAATGAGATAGATTATGGTTCATGCCGATTGCTTTAGCTCGCGCGAGCCGAATCGCTCGAAAATTGCGGCCGCGCGCGCGCGCGAGCTAAAGTTAAACGCACGACGATCACGCGCGCGCGGTGTTCCAATTATCGGCCTGGCAAATCCACGTCCGAGCGTCACTCGCATCACTCCGCTGTGTGTGTGTTTCAGGACTTGCAGATCATATATTATGGCCTACTGGGTCTGGAGGCGTTGCGCCCATGCAGAGATTCCGTTCTCCGCGGGCTTTGCAAGATCGTGCGTTACGAGAGACACCATGCAAACCACGTTCTCTATTAGTAAGTATTGTAATATCGTCAATTTCTCTGCGAGAAAGATTGTTCTCGCGGACATTTATTAGCGGTCAGAAACGTATTTCAAATTTAACTCACACATTTCGAGTAGAAAATCTCATTTTTCTTGACCATTAAAATGATTGTTGAACAACTTTTGTTGTTCAATATAAATAAATGTTAAGATAATAAATAACAACGTTACAACACCAAATAAACAATGTTTCAACACCAATAATAAATTTCCACGAGGTTGCGTAACAATCGTTAAATTTATTACAATTAATACATTTATATTACAGTTAAAATGTTTATATTAATGATTTTTATTTATAATCTTCTCGCACACCCAAAAGCTGTTCGTGTCTTTATTTTTATTGTAATTCGTTTTCTTCCAAAATCAAATCGTAATTTAAAAGCATTGCGCATTTCTTCGTAAAAGAAACAAATTCTTTTAGGAAGGAAATTGTTTTTGCGTGACATGTTTTCGTTGCAAAGAAACGTGATTTATTTTAGGATAATCTAGGAAAGTTGCCAGTTATTGATTTCTTTATTTACCGATGTCTGGTACGCATTTTGAAATTAGAACATCCAACGCTCTTGAAACGACGTTCAAATGTAGGACAATTTATTCTTTTATATTACGTTGAAAGCAGAATTGAAAGTATTCGCCCGTTTTATATTTTAGACGGTTTTGAGACGCTTTCTTGAAACGCGGTACGCGCTTTATCATCAGATGTTGCTTTTAATCTCGCAGAAATCTTCTTTACCGACGTGTCTCCGCAACGCTACAGGATTCTCATCTTATCGACTTGCGATACGTCGGGAAAAGAAGTTCGTTGCGATGTTACAGAGATGTCGAGAGAAGATAAATTTTCAACTGACAATTGTGTGCAGTAATATTTCAACAGCTGACCTATGTGTGTCACCTTAGATAATATCCGAGTCTTGTTATATCATTGTATATCATAAAGAAAGACAGACGCGTTAAACACTTAAAAAAAATAAAGTTTTTCTAATTTTCAGCACCGGCGAACTGGCCACAAGTTGGTACATACTTCTCTCGGGTTCCGTGTTCATCGATGGATCCATGTTTCTGCCTCGTTCAAGGTAAGATTCGTACAAAATGTGTTCTCAAGCGATGGCTTGTTTTTTTTTTTTTTTTTTTTTTTAATCTCACGAGAAAGAACATGATTTCTCGTGAGGATGATTTCATTTCTTGTTCTCATCCAATATCGTTACCGTTAGTTTCGCAACAAGAGAAATACAACGAGAAAGCACACAACTTTCTCTCAATAAGTGATCGCGCGTTTAATCTGGGATCTCTTAATTGCTCGATCCCATAATTGTGTCCAAAAACCACACGAAAAAAAGAAAAGACAATATTAAAAAAAAAAAATAATAATAATAATAGGTTAACGCTCAACACCCGATACGTTTGCAACGAGACGGAGATATTTACAATCCGATGGTCGTGGGAAAGAGAACAGTTTTTTTTTTTTTTTTTTTGGCGAAAGATCTGTTTTCCATAAAACCACGTGTCGCACAGACATTCGACGTACGGGGAGAACAATCGTGTGTGTTATATTGTCTCTGAATCTACATGAACGCTGCGTAAGCGCATTTCTCATGGCATCGTTCCAACGATGCGACATCTCTCGCTGTTCGTTTCTTTTTTTTTTTTTTTTTTTTTTTTATATGATGTCATAATATTATATGGCATGAGCGTAGTGGGGGGGTCTTCCCTTCCGAGACAGAAATCGATCGTAAATACGTGCATCGTGGCTTCGCGCGCATACCGGGTGTCCCTGGAAAACGCATGAAATAACAGAGCGTGTGTGATA